GTCATCAGCGGCTTGTGAGCCGCTGATGACAGCTATTAATTTAAAGGGGACAGTCTGCTGAACAGTTCTACTATAAGCTGATGGTCGCTAAAGCGACCATCAGCTTATAGTAGAACTGTAAATGCCAGGTCCGTACGACGTACTGAGCTGGCCAGCAGGAAGCACTTTTGTAGCTCCGTACGACGTACGTCCTTGGCAGCGAAAGGGTTAAAGAAAGGCTTAAATTAATATATACCGAATGGTCACACTGGCTTGGCTGAGTAAGAGGCAAGTGGTTTCTGGATTGGGCTAAATGGCAGTAAAGGCATTAGGGAAACTGGCTGGCTGAGTAAGAGGCAAGTGGTTTCTGGATTGGGCTAAATGGCAGTAAAGGCATTAGGGAAACTGGCTGGCTAAGTAAGAGGCAAGTGGTTTCTGGATTGGGTTAAAGGGCAGTAAAGGCATTGGGGAAACTACAAAATTGTAATTTCTTTTCAAGCTATGGCATACATCAGGAGCTTTGAAGAATAATGTAATTGATGCCCACCTTCTTGTTTCTTCAGGTTGAATAGGACTCAACTGGCATTGAATGTATGCCTTACTAAATTATATTAAGAAAGTTTTCAAGTAGTGTACCTCCTGAGTGTTTGCTTTTAAGACATTCACTTTGGTGCAAGATAACAGTATACTTTTGAGTTGATTATTTGTGGACTTGGAATTCAAGCAGTGAATTATAACTTCTCACATAGCAATATTATGTATAACTGTAAATCCTTTAGCCCATATCTCCCATTTATTGACCCTTGAAGGGGAACATTCAACAACCAAATTATTTATTGCACTACTTCTTGAGTCTTGACTTCCTCCCGTTATTCCTTATATCTGGTAAAGTATATCAAAGCGAAAGCTTTTTTTCTTCAAATTGGACATTGTATGAGAGGGTTAAAACTGCTGTCCATTTTTCCCCAGTCATCGTCCAGGGCAGCATCTGAGAGATGGGATCCTCCCACCTTAAACGGGAAACGCATCATCCAAATTAGAATAAAAGGGCGGTCCCCCCTAACCACCTCAGTATTATCATAGAGATTCCTTCGGCTGAACAGGAGCATCGTAACGTTTGTTATTTTACTCCAGGCCTATCGTGCCAGATGGCAGGGGCCTCCTGAAGCATGCGGCTCCAACTCACAGGACAGTGTACCTGGAGAGCCTCATGCACAGGTACCCAGGACTGGTTCCCCCAGAGTCCTTACAAATGTCTACAAAGCTGCTGCGCTGTGTTTCTCTATTGGGAAAGCCAGGGTGCTGAGAGTGCTTGTAATGAAGGGGTAAAAACCCTGTTATATTTATTTCCCCACTTGACAACTTCCTATGTTTTAACTCTTGAGATTTGTGAGTGCATTCAATGGCGCAAACAACTAAAAAATCTGGGAATGATCAAATACATTTTTAATTAAACGTAGGGGTTAACTGGATAGGTACAACTTACTTACCCAGGGAGCCCTTGGCTTCTGAAAAGGTCAGAAGTCCTGGAATTGACAGTGTTTGATCAAGAGCCTAAGTACATTCAGCAAGCTGTCCTAGACGAGACTCGATACAGGCTGACAAACATCATAACACTGATGTTTGGTGGCTTCGGAAAGCAGGCCGTCGTTGTGGCGTACATCGCCCTGTCATCCTCTAGAAGTGTTTTATGACCAGCTTCAATAAAGGCCTTGGACTCATCTGGGGCAGAGCAGCTAGGTTTTCGCCAGAGAAAATTTGTAAGGAAGTCACTGAGCTGAGTTACAATATTTGGTGTAGCACTGCAGAGTTACCCTCCATCTGTTGTGATCAGACTCATGGTAGTAAGGTGCTCTTGCCGGCCCCCCCTCCCCCCCCCCAAAAAAAAGTATGCTGATTTCTAGTTTATCCTCTCAGATGCTGCCCTGGACGATGACTGGGGAAATCCTAAGTTAGGTACCTGGTAACTTTGTTTCCAGGAATCGTCCAGGGCAGCACGGATTCCCGCCCTGCTTATTGAGTGGTGTGGTGCAACATGAGGTTAATTGTTACTGTCTGGTGGTCCTTGCTACCTTTCGGTTCTATGATAATACTGAGGTGGCTAGGGGGGACCGCCCTTTTATTCTAATTGTGGATGATGTGTTTCCTATTTCAGGTGGGAGGATCCCATCTCTCAGATGCTGCCCCGGACGATTCCTGGAAACAAGGTTACCAGGTACCTAACTTAGGGTTTTTTTTATGCCATCTGTGTCATTAGGGAAATTTCCCTTTACGTCCTGTCCTGTAGACACAACCTCGTTTCTTGGAGTTACCTTCTCATTCCAAACGAGATTGGTGATCAGGACAATAAAAGGGCAATCTTCTTAATGGACACAGTCTGCAATAAAACCTGACGGGGGTTTTAATACCCTCACCAATCTATCCAAGAACTAAAAAAACATTTTGCTTTGAAGTTATACTTAAATTATGTCTCTTCTATTCACTGTTGTCTTGTTTTTTATTGTTTTTTTCAATAATATACCAGAAATATTTCAATCTCTTTCAGCTCTGTACTTTTTGTGATTTAGAGTAAGGTATGTCAAGTGGTGGTCGTTTTTTTTTTCTTTTTTCTTTTATAAATGCACATTCACACCGGGAGAAGGAGATTGTATGTTTGGGGGGCACTTAGCATGCACTGCCACACTAAGATAGCATGGCTAAATTTTTTTAAAAATTATCGGCGAACATAACGTAGTAACATGCCCTACATTTTTTTTTCAGGTCTCTGGTGGCAAACCTGGCTGCTGCTAATTGCTATGATAAAACAAAGCATCTCGACCTGACGGAAAACTGGCAGCTGGTGGAAAAGGCAAAAGTTTACTATATAGCTGTAAGTTCCCATATGAGACACTGTTTACATTTGTTACAATTGTTAAGCATTTAGCTGGTTAAGAATATCAGATGTGTGGATTCTTTTAGGCCTTGTTCACACCGAAAGCGTGTGCGTTCCAGAGCGGTAGCTGCTGGAACGCACTGCGATCGCTGAGAAACTTCCACCCGCGTTTTGGGGCGGGAGGGTGCGTGGTGGTGCATTAATTCAATGGCACCGCTTCCACGCCCCCCGCCCACAGTGCGATCGGATGCGTGGCAAAACTTTGCCAGCGTTCCGTTCCACTGCAAACGCTAAAAATAGGGCTTGCCTATTGCCTAATAGGGCTCAGCAAACTACAGCTCTGCAACGCACACGCTTTCAGTGTGAACAAGCCCTTAGATGTAGATTTTTATATATATTCCTAAAGGTAAACTACACTGTAGTGTATTTTTCAGAAGTACATAGTTGGAGTTGTTAAAAAGTTTCACTGTTGAAGCTTTTGGTTAGTTTTTTTTTTTTTTTAATGGCTTAATTTGCATGCTTGTTCCTATCATTTTTTTAACCCATCCAACTTAGATGTAGTTGCATGGGTTAATAAGGCTCTCTTTATTATTTGTGAAGTGCATTCAACATAAATGGTAAATAAAATTAGATTGGTGTGCTTGGATAGTTCTCCTTTAATTGTACACAATACTATGGGGTCAGTGAATTACATTCATCCTCATAGTTAGAGCCGATGTGTGACATTGAAACTGTGACACGTCGGCAAGTGAGCGAACACATACAGTTGCTCACTTCCTGATCATCTCCCTGCAGAGAGTGGTGACTGTCACTCCCCGCAGGGATTACCCCCTCTCCAATCCTCCAGTGCTGACTGGAGGAACAACTGGGAGGTGATTGGCAGAGCCCACTGTCAATCAGCCAGCTGGGTGGATCTTGACAGTATAGCCTGCTATATACTGAGCTTTGGGTCACGGAAGGAGATTAGTATATGTCCTCCTGTGACCCTAAAGAGAACTATGGGATAAAACGGTTACCCCATAGTTCTCTTTTGAACACTGTGGCAGATTCCACTGACAGGCGAATCACCATCTCAGAAGCTTGTCTTAGTCACCAATCATTGATTTCCCTTGAAATTACTTCTTTACCATTTTATTAGTAATCATTGTGTAGTAAGAAATTAAGCTGTAAAGTACGGTAATTAGAAGAAAACTTATTGCAACACTACCTTGCAATTCAAAATTAATCTGTGTCTAGAAATGAGGTTTTTTGATATGAGTACGGTATAATTTAAAAGGTGATCTTATCATACATCACAGTGAGTTTAATTCTTGAACGGGGCGATATGCAGCTACCTTCGGGTGATTAGGCACATTAGACACTGGAGAATCAAAGCAGTTAACAGCCCTGAATAATCCGTCCCACTCCCAGCCTGTCTCAGTTCAGGGGTTTGTATTTGTAAAAAAAAAATTTTTTAGGAAACTACATGTCCAAGGACTAAAGCTGGTGCCCAATTTAATTGTCCCTCATGACAATCGACTTGTCCAGATACAAATATTAATTTTAACCAAAACCATAGTTAACCGTGCAAGAGGCGCTTCTCCTTGGCCAGCCGGAGTCACCTGAGGGTACGAGTTACAGATAGTGCACCCATACTGGCAGAGGGGGGCAAATTTGAGTATAATTCCATTTTCCCAAAAACGTGAACAAGTCAACTTCCCCTTATTGCACATTGTGTGTGTTTTAGAGAGCGCTGCTGCCCAGCTACCACAATATGGAATGGGGGTAGCGCACACGTGGCCACAGGGTTGTTACTGCCCAGATCGCAAAATGAGCAGTAGTTCTGCTGCTCTACATTTAAATGGGGGGGGGAAAACACTCGCCCAGCGCACCCAACTCCGTGTCCCGGGCGTCAGCGTTAGGAATTGCGCACCCCTTCAGTTGTTTGTTAGTGTCTTTAGGGGATAGATGGCTTCTCTCTGCTCTGGGAGTGATGCATCCTTTTTTACTCAAATATCTTCTAGCAAGTTTCTTACAGCAACTATGGCACCTAACAGTAGCTATCTGGATCCATTTTCTCCACTGTACCATATCTAGACCTTGCCAAAACAAGATGCAGGGCCTGCCTGTAATATGTTTAGGGTCCTGCTTGGGGAACTTAACTTGCATTTTATGCAGTGCATGCATTTGCCACAGGGAGCTTTACTTATCTTGGGTCATGTCCCCAACGAACCCCTTTGAGAGGTATAGCCACCGGTTGGGTAACGATTGTATAGGGCATGTGCCATTTAAAGGGTCATTTACGTGTCACGCAAGATGAAGCTTGCCCTAGGGTAGTTGATCTCCAATCTGGCACTGGAAATGGGTAAACTCTTCGTTAGGATTGTAGTGGTGGCTTCCCCACACGTGAGCCTTACCTGTGACCATCTGTCCTGATGTCCCCGGTAAACAACAAGTCTTGTTTGGGCTGGTAACTTTTTATTAGAGGGGTTTTGCTTCCCTCACCATAATCGGTGACGGAGACCATGATGACCCAGTTCTCTCATGAAATCTAATATCTAAATTTATCATTGCCTATATATTTGTGTTCTTATAGAGCTAACCTCTAATTTAAGTACTTGAGCCACTGCCACAGCAGGAAAACATGGACATATCTCATTTTAATTCTATATTGTCCATGTTATTTTAAAGTCCTGTATCAAATATTTGCAGCACCTAGCTGCATCAACAGTTGTGTTTAGTCATGCACGGCACATCATCTGAAGAGTGGCTACTTCAAGTTGTAAGAATATCATGTATAGCCATCACTCATTCAGTTGTATCTGCTTGTAGGATGCATAAAACAAACAAAAAGTGGCACGTTCAGTACTTCACACTCAGGTTCTTCTAGCAATGCTCATCAGATGGGATAAACACCAGGAAGGGTACCCCTATCTTCCTCCACTCTCTAGATAAAATTAGCAACTGTCTCATGGACCCCCTCCTTTGCTGAAGGTGGGAGTCCTTCCACATCTCTCAAAAGAGGAGAAAAGTGCAGAGGGTGGGGGGAAGCCCTGAAATGCTGCCAAAATATTTTGTGGCAGTCTGTTGCTAAGGAACCAACACTTGAGCTCTATTAATGACACTGCAGGCATATCAAGAAGCTAAAGCTGTATTCTCAGCACACCCTTTTAGTGCTGGAGCAAGCTGTATCTGTGTATTAGGCTACTAATGCTGTAATTATCTCAGAAATAGTTATTCCCTTGTTAACTCTATGCCCCACCACCGCCACCTTCATATATGATTGACTGTAATTGGTGGTTGGGTACAGCGTATCTAGCTCTGCTTTCCCACGCCTCTAATAAACACACTCGCATCCGCATAATCTCCTAAGCAAAGATGAGGATTGTGCTTTTTTTTTCTTCTTCAGCTGTGGACTTAAAGCTTGGCTCTTGTAATTTGATCATAGTGACAGATGTCATTTCTAAGCTGAATTTTGTATTTAACTGTTTATGCACTTTTCCTTGTAATTATCTTTGATGAAGAGGTTTGCGAGAATTTGTTCCGGCATCTTTCAGTTGAGCTGCTTTTTCTCATTTCAATGGGTATTGCAGCCAAATCTGTTGGTGTCATTTTAGTTAGGTTATATTTTTCATTATTTTACTTGCATTCTCTCCTACATTCCAGAGAGTATGATCATTTTTAGAGTGCTGCCATATTTACTTGTTACGATTGGAGAATTTTATTCATAAGAGCTTGCAGTTTAATAAGCCACGGTGCTTTCACCCTCTGCATCTTCTCATTAGCGGCATAGACAGAAAATGTGCTGCCAACAATGCACACATTACTAATCACATGCCAGCAGCAGGCTGTCTGCTTTGTCAAGTGCCCCGCATCCCTGAGGCAAGAAAGACAGCTGCTGCATCTCTGTGTTGTGTGATCCCTTTCTCATTGGACTGCTCAACACAGCCATTCTAAACCACTTCATTTGCTTTGTATTGGATACCTTGTTGCTCACCGGTTTTAGTAATCATATCCTTCCCTCCGTGTTCTGCTCCCAGATTATAATATAACTAAAACAAAAAGAACACCTCGTAATATCTAGAGGTAGTTTGATAAAAAATACCTGTTCCCAAAATTGATTAGAAGTACAAATGACCTCTAATTGGTATTGAGATCAGTAGACATGGTTGTGGAGGTCATTGAAAAAAAAACGAGCATGATTATTAGATTACAGAATAGTTTTTTTTTTTTTAAAGAAACCTTTGATCAGCTACCAGAAAATGAGGGAATGCTATGGATCATAGACTTGGAGCTTGCACCTTCAATAACGGGTCAGCAGTGGCAGCTTCCATATTTCTGTCCTAATTCTGTCCCTTAATAAAATGTGCTTGTAGTCATAGAAGCAACATCAGACTGCCTTTGCTGGTCATTTCTCCTGCAAAATTCTACTTGCCTGGCTATCATGCTTATCATGCTTCTAAATGCAGTACTTAAGACAACTGACACAGAACAAATATGTAGAAAGGACTTTTATCCTGCTTTGTGTTCTATTTGAATACCGTATTTTTCCGTCTAAGACGCCCCCATGTATTGTCCCCCACTTTTCTTACCCAAAATTCAGAAATCAATATTTTCCATGCTCTTTTGCATAACTGATTAAATCCAGTTTAAATTTTGCAGAGTAAGACAGCCGCTTACTGGTACCGGTATTTTTTTTGTTTTCTGAAATTTTTATGGGCTCAGAATGCTTCAACATTACTGCTCCCTGTTGCATCTGGGCACTGGCTACAGGCTCTCCGCAGCATCAGCTGACGTGGGGTACATAAGGCTCATGATTGGAGGAAACCTGTTAGCTTGTCTCTGCAATCGGAAGTTTCACTTGTGAGGCTAGTTTGCAGAGGTATCGGCAGTTTCGGAACCGCGGTTCTCCTCTCGCCCCCCGTGTATAAGACGCCCCTCTATTTTTAGGTAAATAAGTAAGAAAAAGTATAGTCTTATAAACGGAAAAATACAGTACTTGTTATGGATCATTGATT